GGTTTTTGGTTGGGCCAGAGCTATTTAGAGGTTTAAAAGTCACTGCCAAACTACAGGGTGGTATGGTGATGGAGTGGGGCAGAGCCAGGAATGTCATTTAGTTAGTACACTGCCTGGAATATCTTTGGGGTTAGGGGGGCAGTGTTCACCCCATGGATGAAGAAGTTATCACCTTCCAGGTTTGCCTGCTTAGCAGTGAGGTCCTGGGTCTCCCGTGTCCTTCAGAGTCTGGACACTGTTGCCCAACGCTTCAGGTTTCATCCACAGACAAACTGCTGACTGTGCGGACAGGGCATCCTCCGGGATAGCTGAGGTGATGTCTATTCTAACTTGCTTCCATCGGCTTCGGGGCCAGTGAGGCAGTTCCCCTATGATTTAGACGCAGAAAGAGTATGATTTGGGACAACTGGGGTACATTTTCCAGCTGCTGCGAATCCTGTGCTTCTTGAAAAGGGAGGCTTCAGATCTAACAAAAAACATACTTTTAAAAACAAAGGGAGGTGAAGAAAATGTAATCTCGAAGCCCAGAAGTATAGTTTATCATTTTATTCCTAATTCTGTTGTTTTGGACACTTTGTGGCATAGAGGGCCCTTAATTAAAGTAAAAAAAAAAGTTTTTTTCAATAGTGTCGATAAACTACGAAGCGTTTACATCTTGACTTGGGATCTTCCCATGACCTCCAATATGTGCTGTGCAGTTAAAGGTGACAAGGAAGGTTATGGTGGCTGTGGCTTTGCAGGATGTCCGCAGAAGGTCACCGCAGGCAAGGGCTGGGCTTTCCTTTGCAGGCCAGAGAAGCTGGTTTTCTCAGTTCATCCGGAGTCCGCAGGCTGGGGTCCTGATCAACCGGCCAGAGGCTCTTGAGCGGTTCACTGAAAAAACAAAACTCCAGTTGATTCTTTTAAAATTAGAATAGAACTTCAAAGGGGAACAGACTTGTCAGCTTGTCAGTACACTTTTGTTTCAGGGTGAGAGTTTATTGGGGAAATTAAAATATTGAATACTACCAGGAAGTAGCTCGGGGAGCAATTCAAAGTGATTGGAATTGGATAAAGGAATTCTGCTGCTGTGTCCCCCGTAGGGATCCCCTGATGGAGCTCCCTTACTCTTGGCCAGCGCTGAGGATCCCCAACATCTCCTGCTTCTTGTCTCCACCCTTAACAGGTGACAATAAGACTCACAAGGAATCACACATTTTTAACCTTTTAGTGCCCTATTTGGACATTTCAGAAACCCTCTGGTCACACTCATGGGAACAGTGGGTGCTGGAGGTGGAAGGGACATGAGAATATATTGTGTCCAACCCACCCTTCCTCATTACATACATGAGAAAATGAGACCCAGAGGGCTGAAGTGACTTGCCCAGAGTCACACAGCAAGGTGGCTTGAACCCAAAACTCCTGAATGTGAGTCTAGTGGTGTGGTGAGATGAGGTAGCTTGAGGGGATAAAAAGACCACATCCTTCAAGTTCATACAGACCTGGGGTGAGCTCTGGCCCTGCAACTCAGCAGCAATCATAATAAAGACAACCAGCGTTTACTGAGCTCTCACTCAAGGCCAGGTACTTTCTGAGTGCTTTAGAGTCTCGCCACAGTTCATTTTCATAACAACCCTGTGAAGTAGGTATCTCCATTTTACCAAGGGGGAAACTGAGGCACAGGGCAATTAAACTAACTCACCCATGGTCAGATTGTCAAAGGTGGATGCAGGCTCCCAGACTGCAGATCCTGTATTCTTTTTTTTTTTTTTTTTTTTTTGCGGTACGCGGGCCTCTCACTGTTGTGGCCTCTCCCGTTGTGGAGCACAGGCTCCGGACGCGCAGGCTCAGCGGCCATGGCTCACGGGCCCAGCTGCTCCGCGGCATGTGGGATCTTCCCAGACCGGGGCACGAACCCACATCCCCTGCATCGGCAGGCGGACTTTCAACCACTGCACCACCAGGGAAGCCCCGATCCTGTATTCTTAACCACTACGCTCAAATTCATAAACTTATCTGAGGAGAATTTTCCTTGTCTGTAAAATAAGGTAAATAATAGCTCCTTATAGGGATGTTGACAAAGTAGAAATAATGAACAAGACCTGCCTCATAGCAAGTGGGCATTTAATACACAGCAGTGTTTTTTGTTATTTATAACCAGTGTTGCTATTTTATTAGACCACGCTGTGCCCCCCATCCTTTGCTGAGATTTTGGAAGTCCCCTGGTCTGGTAAAGTGTGCACCCCAATTAGCAGCAGGAACACCTGGAAACTTGTTAGAAAGGCAAATTCTCTGGCCCCACCCCAGACCTACTGGCTCAGAGCTTGCAGGGAGGGGAGGCGGGAAGCGGTCTATTTACCAGGCCCTTCAGGTAATTCTGAGGCACGCTAAAGCTTGAGACCTCTGCTGCCTAGTCTTACCACTTGTATCTTTACGAACTATTTCTCGTGGTGACTAATTAACTGTGTCCTAAGTTGGTGCATCTTATCTTCAATATCAGGCAGCACCTTTCCCCAGCTTGTGCCTTCCACCCTATTTTCCCATCTCATGTCGCATATATCTCTCTTGTGGAGACCTGCTCACAGAAAGATTTGAGCCAGCAATGAGGCTTTTGTGGATTGCCATTCCCAGTTCTGAGTGCTGGGAAACGATGCAGAGCCCGGGCAGGCTGAGGATTCAGGAGACCCGTGGTCCACCTCCAGCTGGGCTAAGAGTTCCTAATTCTGTGAGTTTCTGCACCTTTGAGCTCTAATTTCCCCATGTGTAAATCAGATATATTAAAAGCTAGCTGCCCTTTTTAATGTCAAAGTTTGATTTTGAAATAATAAATATGAAAGCTCTTGGAAAAGCATCAAGTATTTATTGCGAAGTAAAGTGTTGCTAATACAATCTTTTTTTTTTCTTCTTGGTAGATATTTTAAGATTCAGAAATGCTTCATTTCTGGCTCCTTCTCTCCCCGTCTTTACAATAAATTCTTTCTCCTCATCTGGTGGGGGTGTGGCCAGATGTGCTACTGGATTATTCCCCCTGGACATGTCTGTTGCCATGTGTCTGTGAGTATAGGCATCTCAGGTACCGGGCTGGGATGTGCACATTGGACTGTTTTATCAACTTTTGCTCACTAGCTACACTTGGCCATTTCATTTTCATTCATTGAATGATGTCTGAGCACCATTTACTTTATTTATTTATTTATTTTAAAGGTGAATTTTAATTTAGTTAATTAATTAATTTATTTTGGTTGAGTTGGGTCTTCATTGCTGTGCACGGGCTTTCTCTAGTTGCGGCCAGCGGGGGCTACTCTTCGTTGCGGTGCGCGGGCTTCTCATTGCAGTGGCTTCTTTTGTTGCAGAGCATGGGCTCTAGGTGCACGGGCTTCAGTAGTTGTGGCTCACGGGCTTATTTCCTCCGTGGCATGTGGGATCATCCCCGAGCAGGGTTCGAACCCGTATCCCCTGCATTGGCAGACAGATGGCGCCTCCAGGGAAGTCCACCATTTACTTTAAACAAGAAAATTCAAACGTGTTCCAGAGGGAGCCAGCCACACCCAAATGTGATGGGCTTTGGGGATCACTGAGAAATGTATTCCATCCCCAGATATTCCTGTTCCTATCATGTGACACTGAAGATGAATTTCTTTTATTTGAGGCATCGCTTCTTCCCCAAACACCTCAGCAAACTTGCCTGTCAAGTCTTAGCTGCATCTGACATTGTTTCTTAGGACAAACTAATGGCAGTAGGCTTGCTGGCCCAGAGGTCGGATCTTTTATAAGGTGGTTTCCTGAAAACCTCATTATTCTGCCCCCAGTAGGAGATGCCCATGTCTGTTTCGTTACCCTGCCACCAGCATCAGAAGCTCCCTTTATGAAAACTGGTGCCAATTTGATAGATTCATAAATCGGTTTACTTTACATTTAAAAAAAATTGGTAATAAGGGTTTTTCTTTCTAAGTCTACCTGCTATTCATACTCTTCACTCCCTTTTCTATGTCTGTGTTAGTTGGGTTCTTACTGATTTTTTAAAGTTCATTCTACAGATGAAGGATGTGACTCAGTCATATCAGCTGCAAATCTCTTCCTCAATGTGTTGGTTGCTTTTTGTTTGTTATGATTTTTTTTTTTTACAATTATAATAAGGACTTTAGTGAAATCCATTCATCTTTGACTTTGTAATTTCTTTCATTATCTTTTCTTAGAAAGCCACTCCTAACCCTTAAGCCTCTTAACGTTTGCCTACATTTCAGTAGGGGGCTGGAGAGGGCTTTTTTCCCCTGGGTTCTTTTCTCTGCATCTTACTGTGGTACTGTGGTGCTGGGGTGAGGTCAGGCTTGGTCACATGTGTGTCATCTCCCTGCAGGTTCCTCACCTTGCTGGGCCTCACCCTTCCTCTGGCTGGAACTGTCTACGTGGCAGTTACCGGGTGGAGGTCAGACCGCAAGGCATCACCCACACACGGAGCGCATTCGGCCACTTACGGGAGTCTGCCTTTGAGAGAGCGGGTGAGGAGTGAGCAAAGAAACACAATCCAACGGACTGATTGCCTTGCCCATCCCTCACTGTCAGGAACCCCGAGCAGAGGGAAAAATAGGTATTTATTATTTCAAGACCGCTCATGAGAGGTGACTTAGATGACGACGCTATTAGAAAATAATCCCTGCAGAGCTGGGGTCTAGTGATGCCCGAGAGCTTCTAAAAGCTGGAGTGAAGGTTGGGTCTCTACTCTTCACAGTTCAGTCTTTGTTTAGCATCAGCGTGTTCAGGCAAGGTCGCTGAAAATGCTGCTTTCTTTCTTAGCTGCAATTATCCAGTGTGTTTTTGTGCAACTCAGAGTCTAGGTCAGAACAGAGATTGGGTTGCACTATGGTAATCCTCTAAGGGACCATCCCATGAGCACGATGTCTATTTTCAGTGTCACAGCTACACAGATGACTCACAGAACCTTCCTGGCATTCCTGAGGTAAATGATTTACATATAAGCTGAAGCCAGGGGAGTGACTGTGCAAAAACAGGAGGGGATTACAATGGAAATAGACAACCTGGCACGGCGTAGTGACAGGCTGGGTAGGGATAAGTCACAGCGGGTTGTGATTTAGTTAAAAGTCAAGAGCATTACCTTTATTTCCACTTGCACATATGGCAAGGCAAATACACACACACATTCTGAAACAACAATAGCCTCACATGCAAGTAATTTTAGAAGATGTGGAATAATTTTTGTCAGAGCCTCTGAGGTCCACGCGATTGTCCTTCCTTTACTCCAACGAGAGGGAAAAAAACAAAACAAAATTTCAGTGACTGGACCAGAAGAATAGGAATATGCGCTCAAGCAGCTGCAGGGAACACATCCAGTGGGGAAGGCACAGTGATGACTTTATCAGATCCTATTTGGATCTTCAGGCAAAAACAAAGACAGCAGCAACATCAACAAAAAACCCCAACAATGAGAAAAACAGCAAAAGCATGTTCGTATAAAGATGATATAATATAAGCGCTGAGAAGGCTTAGAGGTCCCTGTGCAACCTCCTTCCCAAATCGGAAGCCCTCGGAACCCATCGTGATGGGAAGTTTCATCGTCAGGCTTCTGCACGGCGGCAATCCCTGCTCCCCTATAATTTCTACTCTTGGGCCCTGGTTTTTGCCCTCTGGGGGTCTCAGAAAATAAATCTACTTACTCTCTTGTTTCTATTACGACCCTGTCAGATGTTGAGGACTGTTTTGATGGGCTCCCCCAAGCCTCAGACCTCTCCATTATTTCTCACCTCACGTGGTTCAAGAACTCTCTATGCTCCCTGGCAGCCATCTAGAAGGTTCCAGGGTGGGCTTGGCAGAAAGAGCATATGCTTAGCAAACCCCAGGCAAACGTGCCTTGGTTTCTAACTCTGCCCTTGGTCGGGTTGTTTGACCTCTAGGAACCTCAGTTTCCACATGTGTAAAATGGGGACATTTCATGGGATTTGTTGAAGGAATTCAATGAGATAATGTGTCCTCACCTCCTCCTAATTCGTTCCTCTTTTCCTTGTTCTTCCAGTTAAACCAGGAGAGGGAGGAATGGATAGGGGCTTTAATTGGTCAAGACCTCTTTCTAGACTGACCTTGCTGAGGTCAGCTGGGTTCCGGGGTCCTGCCACATGCTTCTAACTGTCAGCTTGAGGGTGAGCCTACAGTCACCCAAATTCACCATTGCTTATCATCGGGTGAAAGGCTAACCCACAGAGCCTGCATTTTAAGACAAGATCACAGGCAGACACACCTGCTATGGTTCTAGGAATCAGCCCCTGAAACTTTAAGTTCTTCACCCAAAATAAGGCTCTCCCTGATCGGGACACTAAGGTTGTGTTAACTTTTTCAGCAGCTACATTTAACTGTGGTCTCAAAATGGGGGGTTTCTGGGTTCCATTGCTATAACAATTTTTTTTTTTTTGTATTTAATACCATCAGAGTAAAATACCACATTCCTGAATGTTTGGAAATAATCAAGATGGAGAGACCCTAAGGTTCAGAATTTTTTTCTCTCTACTTTTACACTCACCAGGAAGTCAAATCAACATAAGACCACTGTGTCTTCTAGATGTTTAGAGCCAAATAGGGTATTTCGGATTCCTAGTTCTTTATACTCCAAATAATCATTGCATTTGCTTAGAATGGTTTCCGGTTACGTGAGCCTGTTGTTTACTATTTAGATGAGAAAAATACCAGTGAACTTTGAGGACGTCTTCATGAAGTAAATAGCTATGGATTTTGGCCCCAGGGCTCTTACTCTGTGGTCTGTTGCTTAAAGTGGGCTCACAGTAATAATCACTGAGAAAATTCAGAAATTCGGAGCACTGTCACACCCATGTTTCTCAAACTTGGGTGAACACTAAAATCACCTGGAGGGCTTGTCACCACACAGATTCCCAGGCCCTGTCCCCTAAGACTCTGATTCTGTAGGTCTGGGGTGGAGCCTGGGACTGTGCATTTCTAACAAGTTCCCAGGTGATGCTGAAGCTTCCGGTCCAGACACCCCCACGCAGGTAACCACATGCATGGCTTCACCTGACCCTCCCTGTGCTCCTGTGGTTTGCGATACTTTCCATTTACAAATGAGCGAAACGGAACTCAGAAAGGCTGTCTTCTCTATAGGTCAGTTATTTTCAGACGATCTGATAGCTACTGCTAGTTAAGTTCACCCGCAAGTAGAATTTAGATGAAAAAAAAAATAATGACGGCAAAATGTATTCAGTTCTTGCTCGCCAAGTTAGGCATCGGGCCAGATATTGGACAAATATTGTTCTTGAATCCTTACAACAGCCCTGCCAAAAATGTGCTCGGTTTAAAAGTGAGGGAAGAGGTTCAGAGAGATAAAGGAATGGGCAGAACTGGGCAAAGCCAGGCCCCGTGACTCTGCTTCGCAGTTTGTGGCTTCTCGGGGAACCGAGGGGAGCCAGGATACGAGGTGTAGGAAGGACACTGCCGGTTGTGCTGTGACAATGCCAGTTCCTGGGGAGAGAAAATTCTTCTAAATGGAAGGGTGCGCTTCGTGCCTTCAGGCAGACACATCTGAGAGCGACGCCAATGGAAGAACTCTTCTTCACAGCTGGAACCTCAAAATGCTAGTTAATTATGCTCTTCCATTTAAGAAATTGATTTAGATTTCCAGAGCTTGGTTATAAGCCAGATCTCTATTGTGAATAAGTTTCAATTCTGCAAGGACTTCTTCCACCCACAATGTTTAAGGCACCCGGCTACGTCCTGGAGAAGAAACGAGTCTCTTGGAGCTGGCTTGAGTTTTGGAGGCTCCCGTTGCACAATTCCAGATACTTAACTGGCTCTCAGGACGAGCCAAGTCAAATTTGTTTTAAATTAAAGGGAATAAATTAAGTAGAAGGGATTCACCCTTCTTAAAGCAATAGGGCTTAAAAGAGTGAGTGGTAGTAGCTGTGACACTATCTTACTTGTTTTTCACAATAATCCCATGATTATAAGATCTACTTCGATTCCCATTTTGCAGATGTGGAAATTTAGGCCAGAGAAGTTAATTCGCTTGCCAGAGGTCACAGAGCTAATACGTGACAGCTAGATTCAGAGCCAGGCGTGTCCAACTAATGATAAGGTCTGCACCCTTACCTTCCGCTCCACCTGCCGCTCTGTTTTCATACCGTGACAGGTAGAGATGTTGTTGGCAAGAGATCCATTCTTGGGAAAGCACTGGGGACGCCATTTCAAGTGACACGCTGGCCTTATGGAGCATGTCATTTCTTAACGATGTCTAAATCTCCCTTGCCTCAACCCTTTGTAAACCAGCACTGGGTCGGGGGGTGGCAGGCGTTGGCATTTTGGGGACCGAGCTCAGGGAGCGTATTCTGTACGGGACACTGGGGTCACCAACCTCAGGTCAAGACTGTTAGGGAAAGTCAAGGTTCGTAGGGGAGGGAGACGAAGTCCAAAGGTCCACAGATAGATCAAGAGGGGACCACGGAGAACTGAGTTGAGCTTTCCAGGGTCGCAGGGAGGGAGCGTCCGTGTGGCGGCCAGGATCACTCGTTTGTGTCTTTTGCCTCTTGTCTGTGGGGCAGCGTGTGGACTGGTCTGGCTTTCAGGGTGGACAGTGACACCTTTGCTCCTGCCCAGGATTTCTAGGAGCCATGGACCGTGCTCTGAAATGCTTTTCTTGGCAGAAGAATGTGCCGGCCCTCTGGACCACAGAGATGCCAGGAAGCACGTGCTCTGCCCTGAACGGCCTCTGATAATTGAGCTTCCTCTGTCGTGTCTGGGCACGCCGGTCAGATGACCGCATGGCTGTCTTTGGGTGTGGAATGCCGAGGAATCTTTACATGAGCCGTCGAGGAAGAGAGGAGCTTTTGTGTAGGGGGATCACGTTGGGCCCTAGGGCGGGAGGCCGCAGCCTTCCACTCGAGCAGCCTTCCTTCTGTTTTAGAGACAGAGCCACGACTTCCCATAAATGAGTTTTCCAGGCCAGTGTCCAGTGGTTGTTTTATCTCCTCTTGGATGTAAATCAGGCACCTGATTACCAGGTGAATAGTGATCGCTGAGTATTGTATTTTCATCGTCCAAAGAGCTGGGTTCCCTCCCATCATGATGAATAAATCCAGAAACTTTTTTCTTCTCTCCTGGAAAAATGGGCAAATATAAATAAATATTGGGCACTAGTGTGAAATCAGTGTTTTCTCGACTTTCTTTCTGCTGCTATACTCCTGACGCACTCCCATCAACAGAGTGGAACTCTCTAAGTGGGGACCAAACACACATATCAGAATTGAGGGGAGGGGCTTCCCGGCGTGGTTTGAAGATCCTCCCAGGAGATCTGAACCATGAGAAACAGGTGATGCTGCTATAGCCCCAGGGGCGCTGCTGGCCCTGGAGAGGCACAAAGGAGCGCAAAGCCCCGGTTACGATTAGCTACCTCAGACGGCCTCTCTCTCTCTTTTCTTTTTAACTTTTTATTTTATATTGGAGTATAGCTGATTGAAGTGTTTGTTGTTGTTGTTTGTTTGTTTGTTTTTCACCATCTCTTATTCCCAATCCAAGTTCTCCTCTTAAGTGAATTACGGGGATGCATAAAACCCTCTCAATACAGCTGAAAGCTAAAGGTGTTCTTCTTGCTTCTTCTGAAAAGATAAATCACATGATTTTCTTCTGTTAGATAAAAAGGTATTGCTTTTTATGTCTGTTACAGATAATGTGCTTGAATGGAAAGCCAGAGTCCTTAAAACTCCATTGTACCTTGATTCTCGGAGTGGCCCATTCTATCTCGGCGTCGACACCTTTTTCCTGATCAGGTAAAATGGTGTTTTCTCTGCTGTAGTGCTTGTGGCTGCTTGTCTGGGGATGTGTAGATGTGGAGGTGTGGCTGTTCTCACTTTAGTGAGAAAAATTGAATGGCTCACGTGGACTCACCTTGGCCTTTGCTTCCGTGCATCTCTGGACAGCACTGTTGTCACCAGTTCCTCTCTTTCATATCTTCAGTTTATTAAATGATTTAGGATGGCTCTCTAAAATGGGCCTTTTACAAAAGGTGATTTTATTTATCAAAATTGTTTATTTCAGTGGTTCTCAAATTCTGGCTCATGGTGTGATGCAAAGTCATGATCAAGTTGTCAGTTCTCACTACGGTGAAATGTGAAGAAATAAGAAAATATTGTGATATTACATAAAGCTATATTTATTTAAATTAACTACTAAGAGGTAGATTTTCTTAAATGTTTGATAAATGTAAGGCACTGTGTTAAGTCCTTTGCAGCATTACCTCATTCAATCCTCATAATGTTCCTATACAGTAGGGACAACTGTTATAATAAAATCCCCAGTTTTTTCGCTCTTTTTCTGGTTGAAGTGAAATTCACATCACATAAAATGAACCACTTAAAAGTGAATGATTCCGTGGCATTTAGTACGTTTACAGTGTTGTACAACCACCACTTCTATCTCTTTTCATCATCCCCAAGGAAACCTCATACCCATTAAGCAGTTTCTCCCCAGTGCCCCCTACCTCCAGTTTTTAGAGATCAGCTGTCTGTGTCTGAGGATTTACCTGTTCTAGATATTTCATATCAATGGATCACATGACATGTAGCCTTTTGTGCCTGGCTTCTTTCACTTAGCATGATGTTTTTGAAGTTCACCTATGTTGTAGCACAAGTGTAGTACTTCGCTGCTTTTTAATGGGTGAGTCATATTCCTTTTGCGGTACACGGGCCTCTCACTGTTGTGGCCTCTCCCGTTGCGGAGCACAGGCTCCGGACGCTCAGGCTCAGCGGCCATGGCTCACGGGCCCAGCTACTCCGCGGCACGTGGGATCTTCCCGGACCGGGGCACGAACCCGCGTCCCCTGCATCGGCAGGCGGACTCTCAGCCACTGCGCCACCAGGGAAGCCCAAAATCTCCATTTTAAAGATAAGAAAATTGAGGCTAAAGAGGATAGTCCTGGTGGACCCATCGTCTAAACCCAGGCAATCCGACTCCAGAGTCTGTGTTCTGGCCACTGTGCTGGCCTGCCTCTACCTCCTTTGGGTTAAATACCCCTTCCTTCGTAGGGAGATGGTGCTGGCAGATGGAAGCTATTTGTATTAAATGCTAAGCATTCATCCATCCAACCGTGCTCTATTGAATGCCTATTTGCCAGGCATTGTTCTAGGTCCTGAGGATACATCAACGGGTAAAACAAACAAGGGCTTCTCACGGGGCCTCCGTTTATGTCTGTGTGTCTGTGTGTGTGTGTGTGTGTGTGTGTGTGTGTGTGTGCACGCGCATGATTGGCAATAAATAAACAAGAAACAATCTATAGTAATAAACATCAGGAAAGAAATAGAACAGGGGGTTGTAGCTGTTTAGACTAGGTCAGACAAGGCTTGTCTGATGAGAGGCTATTTGATCTGAGACCCAAATGGCAAGAAAGAGCCGGCCATGGGAAAATCAGGATGAGACAGTTTCAGGCAGAGGGAGCAACTAGTACCAAAGTCTACGGCAAGAGAGGGAGAGCCTTGTTAAAGGAGCAGGAGGAAGGCTGAAGCATGGTGAAGGTGGAAGAGATGAAGACAGGAGAGACAGGCAGGGCTGGACTGTGTAGGACCTTGCAGCAACGCTCAGGAGCTTGAACATGGGTCCTGGCGGACTGGGGAGTTGCTGGATTGCTTTAATTTGGAAAGTGATATGATATGGCATTTTAAGAACAATCACGCTGGCTCCTGTGTTAATAATAGACCTAAGAAGGTCAAGAACAGAAGCAGGGAGGTCGATCAGGCGACTTTTGCCATATTTCAGATGAAAAATGATAAGGCTTGGACTGCAGTAGTCGTGGTTAGAATAGAGAGACAAGGTCATGTTCAAGAAATGTCTTAGAGGTGGAAATGTTAGGACCTGTTGATGGATTGGATGTGAAGTGTGAGAAAAAGAGAAGCGTTGAGGACCATTTCTGCTTTTTGCTTTGGTAACTGAGTAGGTGGTGATGGTATTCATTGAGACAGAGAACACTGGAGAAGCAGGGTTTGGAGGGGAAAATCAAGCTTTCTTTTTTGGACAAGTTAAGATAAAGGGACCTTTTAGACATCCATGCAGAGATGGTAAGTAAGCAGTTCTCTGTGTATGTCTGGAGATCAGTGGAAATGTCAAGGTTGGAGATGGAAATCTTGGAGTCCTTGGGGTCCATGCAGAATTTAAAGCCTCGGTACTGAATCCTAGGACCTCTGGTGTCCCAATCTGTAGAAGCTGGGAAAAAGGGGAGGAGCCCCAGAGGAGTCTGAGAATGAGGGACCTGTGAAATGGGAGGACAAGGAAGACACCTCAGGGACAAGGAAACCAAAAGAAGAGAGCAGTTCAAGAAGGAAGGGTGTGGTCTACGGGGCTCACGCTGGGGGAGTTGAATATGCCAAGAAGTGATCTTTGCCTTTGGCAACATGAAGGTCTCCTGGTGACCTTGTCCACAGTGCCTCCGTGGAACGATGGAAGAGGAAGCCTGGCTGGATCGGGGCAAGGATGGAAGGATGTGGAGTCGCTGACTGGGGAGTGGAGCCAGATGGTTAGTGGGGATCAGAGAGGTCATTAAAGAGAGGCGATTCAAGGACATGTCTATGTAGGATGCTGGGAACGGCCAAAAAGGAAGGCACGTACTGATGGGTGCTGGAGAGCTTGGTGTTGGCCAAACAACAGAGCCATCTTCTGATCGTGCCTCATTAAAAAAATTTTTTTACAAGTCCATGACATTAAAAAGTGTATGAGCAGGGTTTCCCTGGTGGCGCAGTGGTTGGGAGTCCGCCTGCCGATGCAGGGGACACGGGTTCGTGCCCCGGTCCTGGAAGATCCCACATGCCGCGGAGCCCCTGGGCCCGTGAGCCATGGCTGCTGAGCCTGCGCGTCCGGAGCCTGTGCTCCGCAACGGGAGAGGCCATAGCAGTGAGAGGCCCGTGTACCGCAGGCCTCTCAAAAAAAAAAAAAATGTGTATGAGCCACTGGCTTAGGTAAGAAGTAGCTCCCAAACAGGAATTACAAATAACCGTCCATTTTCTGCAGCACTTACTTTTCTGCTCTCCTGGTGTCTTGCTCCCTCTCCTCCTTCAGGTTTTTACTCAGATGTCACCTTCACAGCAGGCCTTCCTTGTCCTTTCTATTTATTTTATTTTATATATATTTTTAATTTTTAAAAATGTTTATACAATTTTTTAAATAAATTTATTTCTTTATTTAATTTATTTTTGGCTGCGTTGGGTCTTTGTTGTGGTGTGCGGGCTTCTCATCGCAGTGGCTTCTCTTGTTGCAGAGTACGGGCTCTAGGTGCGCAGGTTTCAGTAGTTGTGGCGCACGGGCTTAGTTGCTCCGCAGCATGTGGGATCTTCCCGGACCAGGACTTGAACCTGTGTACCCTGCATTGGCAGGCGGATTCTTAGCCACTGCATCACCAGGGAAGTCCCAAAAACGTTTATACAGTTTTTAAAGGTGACTTTCCATTTACAGTTATTACAAAATATTGGCTATATTCCTTGTGTTGGATAGTACATCCTTGAGCCTGTCTTATACCCAGTAGTTTGTACCACCCTTCCCCACCCCATTTTGCCCCTCCCCTCTCTCCCCACTGGTAACCAGTAGTTTGTTCTCTCTATCTGTGAGTCTGCTTCTTTTCTGTTATGTTCACCAGTTTGTTGCATTTTTTTAGATTCCACATATAAGACTTCATGTGTCCTGATTTATCGTTTTTCTTTATCTAACAGACTATAGATGCCACTTTATTTATATATTTATATATTTATTTTCTGTCTCTCGCCACTGGACTAGAAGGCAGGATATTTCTCTGCTTTGGGTACTGCTGTTATCAGCGCCTAAAGCAGTGCTAGGCTTTTAGTACTGCTCAATAAGTAGTTGTCGAAATGACTTCTTATTTGTTTAATGACTCTGGCGCGGTAGGTTCTTGGGGGTAATGCAGAGGAAGTAGGGCACAGAATGAGCTGAGACCTGACCACTAGGGCAGCAGCTCGTGCTCGGAGGTGGCCAGAGTGACAACAGAGAGTAGCCCAGACGGGCAAGGGTCAGAGTCCACCGTCTGCACTGAACAAGGCCATGATATGGGAACCATTGGGCACCAGACATTCCAAGAGGGCATAGCTGGGTCTAACCAGGCAGTTGAAGTCCAAGTGCAGGGTGGGAGGCTCTGGAGAGGGTGGGGAGGTCCGCCCAGGGGACAGCAGTTCAAAGACCAGAGCTCTGTTCCCTGCAAGGAGACTAGTAAGAACAAGAAAAGGACGCCTTAGGCTGGCTAGGACTGGTTGGCAGAGCTCCAAGTCCGCGGAGGGGAGCTGGCGAGGACAGATCAGGATGGCTGGAACCAAAGCAAAACTCAAGCTGGAGACTTGTCACTAGGAGGGAAGAATGAAGGGCACGAAAGGCCACTGGTCATCCCAAGGCCATCAGTGGGAATCAGAGACAACAGAGAGCCATTGGGTCAGCCCTGAGTTATCTACAACACAGGCCAAGGCCACAGAGATTTCAGATGTCCAAGAAAACTACAGAAAAGCACCGTTTTTATTATAAAGATAACCTACCTGACCCTGGGCTCAGTCTGGGGCCCAGGGAGTGCTTGCTTTTATCAGTGCTCCTCAGAATATGGTCTCTTCCAGCATCATCTGGAAGCTTGTCAGAAATGCAGATTCTCGGACCCCACCCCAGGTCCACTGAATCAGGCACTCTGACTGTAACAAGCCCTCCAGGTGATGCTGCTGCCCGCTAACATCTGAGAACCGCCGTGCCAGCCCTGGCGTGAAAAGCTGAGAGTGGCAGAGTGGGAGCCAACAGATCCTGACACAGTGCAAGAGACGACATACGTTTCTTTTTTCCTATTTGCTTCTGTTTCTCATTGTCAGTCTCAGTAACTGTTTTTTCTTTTCCCCTTCCAATTTTCATTTTATTACTTTAGAAAGTGCACATCGTCTTTTAAATAAAACTTTCATTCGAACAATGGAAATATTACTAACAGTGATACGTAGTATTGCCATTGTGCTAAGAGATTAAAGTCTTTTATCTCATACAAATCTCACAATGAACCTATAAAGTTGGAAGCAATATCGGGCCCATTTTTACAGATAAGGAGGTTGATGTTTAGAGATGAAATCACTTGCCCAAGTCCTCCCAACTAGGGAAGTTAGAATCAGAACTGAAACATAATGTTTTTTCATGGCAAATCTATGTCTTAATCACTGTCACTAATATATTTACATGGTAATACTAAGCACTTCTGATTATCACTGGTGATGGTTTTGGAATCCTTTTCTATCTCTCAGGCTGACTTCATACATCTGTGTTGCAGGATTTTATTCTTCCCCAGTCTGTTTAGGTCACTGGGTCTTTTGAGCCTCCTGGAACGAGTTCTCTTGTTCAGAGTGTGTTTTCCTGCCAGGCTTTCTCTTTGTTCTGTCTTTGTGAACTTAGGATGGTGCATGCCTGCACACAGAGTGAGACCCTGATTCATTCTTTCCGGAAATTAAGAGGAGGCTGGAATCAGAATTGGCTGTGCTACTTCCTCAACTCAGCGCTCTCTTTTACATGTCTCTATAAATTTTGTTCCTATTATAGTGAATCCAATTGCTGCATCTCTAAAGAAACTCTTGCTGGAAGAGAATAAAGGCATTCTCCAACCCTCCCTGATCCCTTCCAAATCCTGCCCAACACATACACAGCCTTATTTTGCAAGGGGAAACACATTTGTTCTTTTTTTTAAAAAAAATTTATTTATTGGGCTTCCCTGGTGGTGCAGTGGTTGAGAGTCCGCCTGCCAATGCAGGGGACATGGGTTCGTGCCCCGGTCCGGGAAGATCCCACGTGCCGCGGAGCGGCTGGGCCCGTGAGCCATGGCTGCTGAGCCTGCGCGTCCGGCCAGAGCCTGTGCTCCGCAACGGGAGAGGCCACAGCAGTGAGAGGCCCGCGTACAGAAAAAAAAATATATATATATTTATTAATTTTTGGCTGCACTGGGTCTTCGTTGCTGCACGCGGGCTTTCTCTAGTTGCGGTGAGCGAGGGCTACTCTTCGTCGTGGTGCACGGGCTTCTCATTGTGGTGGTTTCTCTCGTTGTGGAGCACGGGCTCTAGGCATGCAGGCTTCAGTAGTTGTGGCTCACAGGCTCAGGAGTTGTGGTGCACAGGCTTAGTTGCTCCGCGGCATGTGGGATCTTCCTGGACCAGGGCGCGAACCCGTGTCCCCTGCACTGGCAGGTGGATTCTTAACCACTGCGCCACCAGGGAAGTCCAACACGTTTGTTCTTTAGTGAAACACCCACAAGGGTCATCGCTATAAGTATCAAAAGATTGGGAAACTCAAAAGGTACAAACTCGCAGTGATGAGACCAATAAGTACCACGGATGTAATGTACAACATGGTAAGCATAATGAGCACGGCTGTGTGTTTTATATGAAAGTTGTTCAGAGAGGAAATTCTAAGAGTTCTCATCGCAAGGAAAACAATTTTTTTTCTATTTCTTTAATTTTGTGTCTCTATGAGATGATGGATGTTTGCTGAACTTATTGTGATCATTGCTCCATGACATATGTAAATCAAATCCTTATGCTGTACACCTGAAATTTATACTGTGCTGTATGTCAATAATAACTCAACAAAACTGGGGAAAAAATGGTTGGGAAGCTCACTCACATACTTGCTTACCATCAAGTTATAACCCAAAGGCATCGCCTCAGTTTCTTTAGCTGAACGTTCTGGGTAATGAATTTGTCATCAGGATACGTTGGTTAAGAAGAATTCTAACTGGGATCTTGGGCAGCCCACTTAGTCTTTGAGTCTCAATTTCCTGACTAGGTAAGCAGGGATGGTAATATTTTCCCTTTTGCCTAGCAGGGCTGTTTATTCATCTATTCAGTCATTCACTCAACAAACATTTACTGCAGAGTTGTTTGGTATGGCTGGAGAAGCAAAACCAACACCATTAGTGAAAGTGCTTTGAAAATGATGTGACACTACAGAAATGGAAAGCCTTGATGTTGTTACTTCAAAAGACCAATGTGGTAGTTATTAGTGTCAATCACCAAGTATTTCTGGCTCTCCTCCCTCCAGGTACTTGGTAACATTCCACTTCCTGGCCCCATGATGGTTGGGTGGGCTCCATCACTAGGTTTGACGCATGAGTAGTACCTGGTCTTACTATTATGCTAACAACTTTAAGCATGTCACGTCTGGGCTAGAACATTTACTTATTAACTTGAGGCCCTCCAGAACGCTCTTGTCCTATGTCCTCTGCCATGGTCACTGCTGAACTAGCAGTTAGTGGCCGCTCCATCAGCCTGCCTCCCATAGTGAGGAAGTTGCTGAGCCCAAGGTGACTGGCCATGGACGTGTACCATGAACAAGAAAAAAAACATAATGGTTTTAAGACTTGAAGATGTTTTATTACTGCAGCGTAACTTACTGTGTCCTGAGAGAGACAACCAAATTAACCCATGAACTGTATCACTGATAAATCATTCCTGTGATCTATTCTTCTCTTTCTTTCAGTGGCTGGTTAAGTGCAAGGTCCTTTTTAAAGATGCATTGGAATTCAGACAAAGGAATAACCCCTAAAATCATACTCAGATACTTTCTCAGTTGCCTTACAAAGTAGGTTATTTATATAACTTCTTAATTCATTGTTGCTATGTAATCATTTATTAATTTTTAGTCTTTAACCCTCTTTTGAAAGAATTTTCCAAGAAAAATAAACTGAGAAAAATAATTTTCTTCCTTAAATACGGTTGCTCTTGCTGGTATAATGGCTTTTGCCAGTGGTAGATACCAGTATTCATGGTACTTTTTTTTTTTTAGATTTTATTTTAGTTTATTTTAAATTTATTTATTTTATTTATTTATTTTTGACTGCATTGGGTCTTCATTGCTGCACGTGGGCTTTTCTCCATTTGCGGCGAGTGGGGACTACTCTTCGTTGCGGTGCGCGGGCTTCTCATTGTGGTGGATTCTCTTGCTGCGGAGCACAGGCTCTAGGCACGCAGGCTTCAGTAGTTGTGGCTCGCGGGCTCAGTAGTTGTGGCTCGTGGGCTCTAGAGTACAGGCTCAGTAGTTGTGGTGCACGGGCTTAGTTGCTCCGTGGCATGTGGGATCTTCTCAGACCAGGGCTCTGGTGTTCCCTGCATTGGCAGGCAGATTCTTAACCACTGTGCAACCACGGAAGCCTTATTCATGGTATTTGTCCTAATAGAACTTGAACTATATTAAACCAGCAAAAACACCCTTATTCCTCAGCTGATGGACAGCAGGTTTCAATAAACATACAGTCAGATTCTCATGGAATCTATGTTCGACAGAATTTGTATGGCTCATATAAATTAATAGCAATTGGATCCTGTAAATAAGAGACTAATGGTAATGATAAAAATAGAATAAGATACAACTGGGAGAGGGGCTGTTTGAAGCTTGGGACGATGGTCATTCCACTGTCAAGCAGAACTAATGTGTGGTTGGTCGGAGCAGAAAGGAATACAATATTGGGACAGAATATGGAACCAATGGGATAGCAGAGTGGCAGTGATGTAATGAGACAGCAGAAGTTTGAGGAGAAAAGGGAACTTCAACTCATGTAACCCAAACCCTTCATTTATATACTTTCTAAATCATGGTTTGTTGCTGAGCCCAGATCTCATTACTTAGGGGCCATGGCTCTCTTGTTACACTGCACTGTCACAAAACAGGAAGGGAAGATTTGAAACAATCTTCTGGGTTCGTCAGATGGACTAGGTAGGGTCTGACTCTGGTCTGCCTGGACTTGCATTCTGGCTCAATCATTTACCAGCTGTGTGACCTTGAGTAAGTGTCTCAACCTTTCTGTGCTTGAGTTTTCTCATCTCAAAAATGAAAATAGGGACTTCCCTGGTGGTCTGGTGGTAAAGAATCTGCCTTCCAATGCAGGGGACACGGGTTCGATCCCTGGTCGGGGAACTAAGATCCCACATGCTGAGGGGCAACTAAGCCCGCACGCCATGACTACTGAGCCCGCACGGCTCAATGAGAGAGCCTGAGTGCCACAAACTACAGAGCCCACGCGCTCTGGAGCCCGCACGCCACAACTATAGAGAGAAAAAATTTTAAAAACCTGCACGCCACTACTTGAGAGAACCCGCGTGCCACAACAAAGAGCCTGCGTGCCGCGGCAGGAGATCCCACGTGCCCCAAGCTCTATTAAATCTAGTCCTCGTTCTGAATGCTTGACGGAATGCTTACTCTTTCAATATCTTTTGGGCACGTGGCACTGGGTTGAGTAGCCTGTCCTGCCCTGTGATCTTCTGGAGGAGAGGGACTGGCATGCAGGTCAAGGGTTCTTAGTGATAAATGCCAAGATGGGTTGTTAGGGGTTGGGGTGTGGGATCCAATGGCCTGGTGGGTTCTGCCTGGGACTCTTGCTTCAGAAGAAAACTCCTGGAGCTGCGGATTGAAGAGCAAAATGTGTTTTACTAGGCAGATAAAGCAGTCGTGGGGGGCAGAGGGAGCACAGGGCGGGGGGGGGGTGGTGAGGTGGTGAGGCCTCATGGAGCAAAGATGGCGGCGAGGATCCCAGTGAGTAACTTGTTGCAGGATGTGCACTGGCGATGGGCAGTGGGAATGGAGAGGGGCCGATCAAGGACACTCAGATTTTCCAGCTCAAACGACATGGAGGATGGTAATGAATTCTTGAGATGGGGAGCGCTGGAAGAGTGCCAGATGGGAGCCAGGAAGGGAGTGAGTCCAACCCGGGACAAAACTTTGTCACTGCCGAGGGCCCGGGTTCAATCCCTGGTTGGGAAGCTAAGATCCCACGAGCCGAGTGGTGTGGCTAAAAAAACAAACAAACACACCAAAAATAAAACAAAATGAACACACACACAAAAGAAAAGTAAGGGAAGCATCCCCAACCTTAAAACACCCTCTTTAAGGTAAACCCAGTGAACAAGCAGCCCTGCTCCTAGCTATTCTGATGTTCTCATTCATGATGGCAAGACTCACTGTTCTTACTCAATTATGATTTATTACTTGCCTTTTTAACTCCAACAAGAGTGGAAGTAAGATCATTTGCTCACTCGCTCTTTCTGTATTTATTGAGGGTCCACTATGTACCAGGCACCGTTCTAGGCTCTGAGGATTCAGCAGTTGAGAAGCCGTGCAAGTGCCTCTGGCATGGGGGTTACAGTCTAGTGACTAGAGATAGACAATAGATAAACAAACAAATATGCAACACTACGTTGCAATATGCAAATCCATTCATAATAGGTCGGTGATGATAAGAGCCACAAAGTGATAATTTGGAGAAGGAAGAAAGACAGAGGGTCTTACTCCTGAAAGCTAGTCAAGGAAGGTGACATTTATCGAGGACCCTGCAGGAATTAAAGGAATGTTCTAAGCAAGAAAATTTCCATGAGCAAAGAAGGATCCCTGGAAGGGAACCAAGAGCAAATGTCCTGAGGTGGGAGCCGTGGTTGATGTGTTTGCAGAATCTCAAAGAGCCCAGAGGTGCCAGAGTGGAGCAAGTGTCTTGGAGAACAGAAGGAATGAGGGCAGAGAGGTGGAGGGGAGGGGAGGGGAGGGGAGCAGATGGCCCAGGTCTGTAGGGCAGAGAATAGACTGGGGAGAGGGCAGAAGAGGGGGGCCCAAGTGCGGGCTACTGCAAGTTATAGAAAAGGCGAAAACCCAGTTTCTAGGCGTAAGCCCTTACAGATGTTATCTCACGGGAACGAGGAGAGTAGAGGCTCCAGGCCCTTACAGCTGTGTGATTATTCCAACTAGGAGCCACATGTTAAAAATTAGTTTAGTAGATTAAAAAAATTGTTGATAATAATGTCTAACTAAAACAGAGGTCATGTACTAAAAATAAAGGCACCCCTTCCAGTCTTACCTCCCACAGGACACCTGTGTTAACAGTTTCTTATGAATTCATTCTTGCAGGGATTTTCCACGTATTGTTTACACGTACTTTCCCCACCCCGTCCCCTGTCCCCATGAATAGGATTACACTGAATGCAGCATTAGTTTGCGCATAGCTTTTTTTATTTAATGATTTAGTGCTGGCATATTTGCATGAAAGGGCTCACCTCACTGATTTTAAGGTTGCCTGGGATGACGCCATGTGGGTGGCCCATCCACCACGTATTTAACCGGTCCCCATGAATGGGCATGAAGGTAATTTCCAAGTTTTTTGCAATCTTAGACGATGATGCAAAGTCTATACATTTTTGCGCAGTTGTCTGGGCACGTCTGCAGGGTAAATTCCTACAAGTGGAATCCATGATTTTGTGCATCTAACGTTCTGATGGATATCTTCCAATGGACTTTCCCACCAGCCAGGTATGAGAAGGCCTGCTTCTCACACCCCCGTGACACTAGCTGGTGTCACACTTTTTAGTCTTTGAAAACCCACTTTGACTTTAAAACTTCAAGGTCGGACAAAAATGAAGCGCATGTACATTTATATGACGCTTCCCACATTTCAGTTTTCTTATCGATCTCCTTTGATTCTCAGAAAATCTTAGGAGGCAGGAACCATCCTCCTTCTTAGAAGAATTTAGGGAACCATCGGCCCCCTTTTCCACAGAAGAGCAAAGGGAGAAATTATATGATTTTCTCAGTGTGAAAAACTTAGACAAAACTAGAAATCATGTTTCACGTTCATGTTTCACGTTCCTTCCCCTGTACCTCCCCAGGCACAGTCCACCCAGCAACCTCCACCCACCCCCACTGGCCCCAGCTCGGAGGCTGCCTGGGGCTGGACACTGGCCTCTACCCTGCCCTCTCCTGAGGACATCTGACCTGAACTCTGGTTCAGAGGGGAGCAGGGGGCTGACTTCCTCTCCCTGGGAGATGGAGGGGACACATGGTGGGAAGGGAGGCCGGGAGGTGAGAGCCTGAGGCCTGTGGGAGCAGCTGCAAAGCAGCGTGGTCAGATGCCTCATCTGGCAGGACCCAGGACCCAGTGAGGACTCTGCGGCTGTCGCCTGAGCTGATCTGGGAAGTTGCATCTTGGCATAGCTGGCGTCCTTTCTCTCTGAATCGGATCAGCAATTTCAGCTCTGTTCCCCAATACCCACCACTCCCCCGCCCACCTGGCGCTCTCTGTGAAGGATGTCATCACTGTGGGGAGGAGAAGAGTCCCACAGGTCCGGGTCTGGGTGCAGACCAGAGGCAGGGTGCTGACCCCTATCTCTGCGGGGGGTTGCTCCTCCAGCAGCCCTGCCCTGCCCTCCCTGTCTGTCATACCCCACCCCAGGCCCTGACGCCCCTTCCGAGATGTTCAGAGGTGCTGCTGGGCCACGTGCTCTATCCTTGTTGCACAGACCTGCAGTCTTACATATGTTCTTTAAAAAAAGAGGGCTCTGATGGAGGCCCACCCAGAATCCACGCCAGAATTGCACATGCCTCCCACGGTGTCCAATAGGGGCCACCAGACACGGGTGGACCAGTGAGATGTACTACAAGTGTGTAATACACATCGGCTTTTAAAGACTTGGTAAGGGAGTTCCCTGGTGGTCTAGTGGTTAGGACTCTGCACTCTCACTGCCGTGGTCTGGGTTCAGTCCCTGGCCTGGGAACTGAGATCCCGCAAGCCTCATGGTGCGGCTAAACAAAGACTCAGTAAAAGAAAAATAATGTAAAATAGCTCAATATTTTTTTATATCGGTTATCTGTTGAAATGATAATATTTTGAATATATTGGCTAAAAAAGTATGTTATTAAAGTGAATTGTACTTTTGACTTTTTAAAATGTGGCCACTAGAAAATGTTAACCAAGTGGCCGACCTGTCTCCAATTATATTCTATTGAACAGCTCCGGTCTAGACATCTAGTGCCTTATTCATCATCATTGTAGCTGCTGCAAATCCTGCTTGGAAGCAGGTAGTGTATGAGGGAGGAAGGAAGAAATAAAGTGAGGAAGGGAGGGAGGAGAAGAGGGAGACTGGAAAGTGATTTTCATCTAGGGAGACCTCGTGGAAGGAGCACGCCACAATGTCAGATCTCAGTACTGCTATGTGGTTGGACCATCTGGGGCAAGTGACTCAAACTTCTCTGAGCTATAATTTCCTCATTAGTAGAATCGAGGTCATAGTTACCTGACAGGAGTATTTTGAGGTTTAGGAAGCTCCTAGCACAGTGGCTGACACGTACGACTTGCTCCGTGAATAACAGTAGTTTTGCATAAGTAGCACCTGCGCCAGCACATGACAGTTGCTCAAGAAAAGCTTTTGAACCCACAAATGTATGCAGGTTTGGGGGGTGTGTGGGGAGGTGGTCACCCACGCAGTACAATCTGTTTTCGAACATCTTATCTGTCACCGCTATGTGCCCACCCGGGGGACCGAATGGAACCTCTGTGGAGAGCCACCCTCTCGCCCAGCTTTTTCCTGCCAGGTTGCAGCCTCTTCACCTGTATTCAGCGTGCTTTTCGGTTAGATTGTTCTCCCTTGTGCCCTGGAGACCCGTCTGGGAAGTGCCCGAGTTCCACCTGGAGAACGGCCAGCAAGCGTGGTGGCCGAATTTGCTGTTGCTAGATAACTTCCTGTCGGTCCAGGATGCGGTGAGTTTTAAGTCATTGGCCGTGAAACGGCAGAGAGGTGCAATCCAGTGTCTCCCTTCACATAATTTGGTGAACTTTCCCAGAGCCAACCTGAGTCTGATCCGCTTTCTTCTGGCATATTCTCTGGAGTAATAGTGATGCTGTGGGTGGGAAGACTAGCCTCTGGTGATGGGGTGGGAGTTACGGCACCATCCCTGACGGGGCACTTGCTGTGAAAGCGGAGCGGGGGCAGGGGAGTGGGTCTGGGGGGACAGCCATCTCGGTGCCTGCCCCGGACACAGCCGCCCGCTCCTCCGTCGTGGTCCGTGTCGCCCCAGGGGGAAGGACACTTTCTTCATCTCCGCCCAGAGAACCAGTAATGAGACGGAACGCGGCACCACCCCCTCCCCAGAATGAATTCTATCCCATGCCCAGCAGGATCTGACAGAGCAACAACGTCTGTATATGTTGGTCATGGCTTCCTTAAAGCCCTAGTTGCCTCCTAATGAGTCTGGAGCAACTGGAAGTGAAATAGCTGTAATTAAACCATGTCACTGCTTTCACCTTGAAAGCACAGCTGAAAGGAGCATCGCTACAGAGCGGCTGCATGACCGCTGGCCAACCAGACGGCTGCCTCTAGTTCACAAGTGCCCAGCAGCTTCGACAGGGTGTACATCACTGTCTAACTGCCTTCCTGTGGACCCACGTCTGTGACGGGGTCCAGGAGGAGAGGCTGGGCTGTTTTCCCAGAGTCAGACTGGCTTGGGCCATACGTGGGACAAGGAAAGCTGTCACTTGTCTTGGATAAGTCTGGTATCCCTGGGGCCGAGGGCGTGGGAGGGGAGGCCAAGGCGCCTTTTATCTCTGAAGCCCTGGAGAGAACTGCCCGCAGGAATTGCCTCACATTGAGTTAGAAATACAGGTAACCGCCTGGTGGCTTTGGCCCCCGATCTCCTGTCAGTCATGCGTGGGACCTCTGGGGTTTCCCACAAAAGCTCGCCTGCAGCCAGGCCTCCGTTCTAAATGAACACATTCTCTCCACCTGGAGTTGCGGGAGGGCAGGAAGGCAAGGAAGAGAGAACAACATCGACCCTCTGACTCCAGCGCACCGTAAGGATAATTGATCCTTACATCCGTGAAACGTGATGGAATTTAGTTCCCACCACTGTCCTGGGAGATTAGCTATTATTGTTGTTTTCAACAAGAGAGAAAAGTTGTCTGAATTTCCAGTTTGTAAAATGGTAATAATATCTACTCCCCCGGGATTGTTATAGCGATTAGCTGAGATGAGGTATGTGAAATGTCTGTAACTCAAAGTCCTTTCTATTCCCATGGAAATTTCGCCCACCCGCCTGCTGAGTTCCTCCTCCTGGTCCCGGAAGGTGAACCGATGCGGAGCAGAGCTGGTACATGAAGGAGAGAAGTGAGCTTTGCTGGTTTCTTTCCAGTGCAACGGCTGGACGTGGTATCTTGCCAATGACTTTCAGTTCCATCTCGTGACCCCGGTGATCGTCTTCATCCACGGAAAGTGAGTCTAATTGGAGCACGTGTTTCTCCCTGTGTGGCCTCTTACATAAAACTGTTCAGAGAGTCTCCAGTTCTGGGCAAAGCAGCTTTTACGATTTAGGAAACGAACTTTCCAGAAGAGCGAGGACACCAAACCCGCCACTGTTTACTTCTTCTGAGTTCTCCTCTAATCTTTGTCCTACACAATCAGTCTGTATTTTTGCAGAGTTATAATCAGTGTGTCTGTCATATCCGGTCTCAGTTTTTTCCATTTCACTGTTCTTAGAAACATTTCCGCATCTGGACATGACCTGCTTACTTGTTAGTTTCAGGATTTATATACCATTTTTTATGGTGGGCACCTAGATTGTTTCCAATTTTTTAAAAAATTATTATATATTTATTTATTTATTTTTGGCTGCGTCAGGTCTTCGTTGCTGCACGCGGACTTTCTCTAGTTGCGGGGAGTGGGGGCTACTCTTCCTTGCGGTGCACGGGCTCCCACTGCAGTGGCTTCTCTTGTTGTGGAGTATGGGCTCTAGGTGCGCGGGCTTCAGTAGTTGTGGCTTGCGGGCTCTAGAGCGCAGGCTCAGTAGTTGTGGCGCATGGGCTTAGTTGCTCCGCGGCATGTGGGATCTTCCTGGACCAGGGCTCGAACCCGTGTGCCCTGCATTGGCAGGCGGATTCTTAACCACTGCGCCACCAGGGAAGTCCCTGTTTCCAATTTTTTATGATTATGAATGGCACTTCAACGAATGTCTTTGAACATATGCTACTTTTTCCTCTTCTGTACTTATTTCCTCGGGGGGTTATTTCCAAGTGGAATTACTAGGTCAAAGGGTAGGAACAATTTTGCGGTGCTTGTTACATATTGTGAGATTACTCTTCAGAAAGGTGGAGTAATTTATAGTGTCCCAAGCAATGCATCAGTGTACCTGCTTCCCCACGTTGGATGTTTATCATCTTAATTTTTGTTAGTTTTAGAAAAACTCTTAAGGCCTCAGTAATTCACGAGAGAATTATAGTTTGTGGACTGCGCATGCCATATTTTAAAAGATTTATTATTCTTTTTGTTAAAATACATGTTCAATTTAAGAAACATTGGAAAATATTAGGATAAAAAAGGGAAAAAACAATCACCTTAGACCTGTTTCCTCACTTAAGGAGAGGTGATTTTGCTATCCATATTTTGATGTTTATTCTTCTGATCTTTTATTTTGCACAGTTTTTTATACACGAAAGGATTCTGCATAAATACTTTAGATCTTTCTTCTAATAGTTTTACAATATAAGCATTTTCCCATATTATTTTATTTTTTAAGTTAACATACTTTTAATGTCTGTATAACATTCCATTTCATGCATGAACTATGGTTTACCTATATCTTCCCCTAGTGTTAAATACTTAGATTATTTCCAATTTTGTAAATAACAGTCTCATAAACATTTTTGTGGTAACCATTTGTCTCCAACGCTGATATTTCTAGAATGCATATCCTTAAGAAGAATTACTGGGTCAAAGGGCATGAGTCTTTTGGGCTTTTGAAGTATGATGACAAATTGCTTTCCTTAAAGGCTGTATCAATATTCAGTCCTCTGGCCATCTAATTACACCATCACCAATATGGACTATTAATAATTTAAAAAAACCCCAAATGAAAACCTTGTTATTTTAAGATATGTAAGAAAAATTCATTTTTCACATCTAATTTGTAAGTCTTTGATTACTAGCAGTGGAGCTGAATTCCAAATATGTGTTGACCAGCTCTGTTTCACGATTACCTGGTAATGCCCTTTGCAAGGAGACATTTAAATCACAGGCTGACCCATGATGTTGCCCACTCCAGCCACATGCAAGGACTCAAGTATCCTGGGCAAGGAAAATGCATCCAGTTTTTTTGGTTTTGTTTTTTTTTTGGTGGTGCTGCACGGCATGCGGGATCTTAGTTCCCCAACCAGGGATCAAACCCATGCCCCCTGCACTGGGAGTGTGGAGTCTTAACCACTGGACTGCCAGGGAAGTCCTTCCAAATTTTAATGTATCCTAAGAATTGAATACTTTTTAAAAAGGCAGATCTGTCTATTTACATGCATATCTGAAGCACGTGAAGCTTCCTAACTTCAAATGTAGAAGAGTTTTTGGCTGACCACTTATAAAACATTGTTCCATGCTTCCACTAGGTACAGAGGTAGTTTGCTGGTATAGTGAGCTTGAGTCAGAAGATGTGGTTCAAATCATGACTGATAAATTACCAGCTGGGGGACCCAGTGTAAGTCGCTGGACTCTCATCTTCATTGTTCATGTCTGTGAGATGGAGACGATACACTTCACATCAGGGCCAGAGGAGAAAGCGAGATTGTACATATGGGAGCTAGCACGTGCCCTCTGTGATGGGCTGTGGCTGCTGGAAGGGCTCTGGAGACATGGCGGGTGCCTGCAGGTACAGGTGGGCAGGTGTGTGGCTCGGCCAGCCCTGAAGCCCCAGCCAAGGAGAAAGGGTAAGCCTCTCCTGGCTCCCTCCGAGGTGCACTGGCAGCAGGATGCCCTGACTGCTGGTCAGGTGTTTAGTGGAGAAAGGGTTGGTTTCTTCTGAGGCCTCTCTCCTTGGCTTGTAGATGGCTGTCTTCTCCCTGGGTCATCACACGGTCTTCCCTCTGGGGTATCTGTGTCCGAATCTCCTCTTCTTATAAGGACACCAGTCATATTGGATTAGGGTCCACTCCAATGACCTCATTTCACCTTAATTATCTCTTAAAGACCCCATCTCCAAATAGAGTCACACTCTGAGGTCCCGGGGTTTAGAATGTGGTCGGGTGGGTGCGGGGCAGGGGGGACACATTCCAGCCCATAATAGTCTGTATTAGGAAGCTTTTATTAGAGTCTTTGTAGCAGTGGTAGGTAGTGGAGACCTGTCTGACTCCTGAGAAGAGGTACCATGGTTTGGGCTCCAGTCCTTCAGGGAGTTAAACAAATATTTCCTTGGGCGGATGTGGGTTTTTACTGGATGGCCTGACTGAATGGTTTACCACCCACAGAGGACAGTGAGTTCTTAGTACCTCCCCACTCTAGACCCGGTGGGAACCTACTTGAGTGTCCTTATGACTGAGGCATCCTGGCCCCAATGTCAGCATCTTTCCGAGAGGCTGTCATAGAAGGTAGATTTCAATTCCTCAGCTAAAAACCACCATTACCCAAACTTGTGACTATGCTACTACATTTAGCCTCTAAATGGAAAGAGGTATAAAAGGTAGGGCTTTTGTTCCTTCAGATAACACACTCTTACAGAATTCTAGTAATTCAAGGAGGACTGAACTGGAGGGTCTGGCAAAAGGCACGGTAAACATACAGCATTGGTACCATACCTTCCCTGCCCACACTCATGGCAGACATTACTAGTCAATCACTGCACCACTGAGCTAGGATTCCTCTTCCATTCCAAGCATTAACACTAAACTAGAATTGCCACTCTAGATAAAAATAATTTGCTCCCTGTATCACTGTGGTGTTAAGCAAATGGTATCTCATCCCTTCCTTGTGAAGAACCATGGCAACTTCGAGCACTGGAATAGGACTGCTAAAGGCAGGATTGTGCTGGTTGGTTTGGCACTCATGTTTGACAATTCTTCCATAGCACTGCAGAGCCTCCTGGTCCCAACCCTCACAATTCCAAGTAGATACAACCAAACAGTGCCTTACTCTGAACCTGTGTCCCGAAATCTCATTTCCTGCCCCAGAACTGCCCACATACTACAGCTGGGACTCCTTCAGGAACCCTCTCAGCCTTACACGTGCAGAGTCCCAGACTGTGGAGGAGTTAATTTTTGTGGGGCTACCTTTGACCCAAGGGGGTATAGAAGACAGTAGGAAAATGCTTCTTTCTTTCATCCCCCAGGACAGTTTTGAGTTGGCTCCACAGAACATTCTGGCATTGGCCACCATGATACTGCATCTTTGCATTGGCCTTCCTGCTTCCCTATTCCAACCCCATCCCTTATTCCTACCTCCACATGAAGTACCTGCACCCTGATATCTGTCAGATTCTCTGTTCGGGTGGGTGGAGGGTCCCTGTGTCCCACCTGTGCCTGTCTCCTGAATCAACCACCACGTCTGTCCATACAGTGCTTCATGGGTGGCAAGGGAGATTCCCAAGCATGGTCTCCTTTTGAGCTGCACAGTAAGTTTCAGGGTGAAGATGAAGAAATTCAAGTTCAAGGCCCTGCCCGGGGCCCGGCAGCTAGTAAATGGTCAAGACTAAAGGCTAACTGAGGCTCTCTAACTCCAACCCAGCTCCGGCCCCACTCGGCCACAGCTGCGCCCATGGCAGCCTCTCTCAAAGGCAGGCTGGCAGGAAGCGCCTCTGATTGCCAAGGTTGCAAGTCTTTCGTGTCCACACATTTTGCGGTGAAGGAAAGTGAACGTCCTTTCTTCTTTGCAGAAATCAACACACCCTTGTCCTCCTCGGGGCCACGCTGTTCTTGGCATCTTTCACCGCCTCTGCTGCTCACACTGGCTTATAACCTTCCGGTAGCAGCTCCGTCAGAAGCAAGGTAACCGCGGTTCCCAGCCCACCCTGCTCTGTCCCTCGCCTGCCCTCGGACTGTCCAGGACCTCCCAGGCAGGGCTGCTGTATGGATGCCAGGCTCTTTGCACTGTGCACGTCGGCTCCTGGAAAAACTCCTGGGTGGGAACTGTTCGGCCTTGATGGGAAAGTTGATTGCGTGTTTGTTTCCAAACTTCTGAACCTTTCAACTTGTGCTGGGGGTCTGCTCTGAAAACACAGGGAACTCACTGTTGCCCATTGAAATACTTCTCGGAGGAAAGGAGCGGCCCCAAGTGGCCGTACTGCGTTTCTCCTCCAGCGGCGAACTGCCGCTTGGAATCTCTATTATGGAATAGATAGACTGAAATTTAAGGAAGCTGGGGTTACCTCTTCAAGGTCACACGCCTAGTAAGTGATACGGTTGTGAGCTGAACCTGGGACCTTATCCACTATGCTATTTTGCCTTTCCAATGGGGGTGTATATAACACTTCTTCCTTATAACCACCCTGAGTCTTCTACAGGAGAAACTGATAAGATTTCCTGCTAATCTATTCTCAAGGCTGCAGTCAAGGAGATGAAAATGCAAATCGGATCCTGTCAGTCATCTGCTCAAATTCTTCCATTGGTCTCAAGGCAGAATCCCTGTCTGACCTCATCTATCACTTCCCTGCTTGCTGACTCAGGCCCAGCCACGCTGGCCTCCTTCCTTCCACACACCCAACATGCTCCCTCCTCAGGGCCTTTGCACTTGCCATTCCCTCACAGGAGAATACTTTCCTTTAGAACCTAGATCTTGGCAGCGCTAGCTCCTTCACTTCCTACAGGTGTCTGTGCATACATCACCTTCTCAGAGCAACCTTCACTGACCTCCTGATGTAAAATAGCCCAGAACCGTGTCTGGCGCAAAAGTGCTCAAAATGCATTGTGAATGGAATAGATGAATGAATGAGTGACTGACTACACCCCAGGCCTTTTGACCAGGGAAGCATCATGCCCTTCTCGTCATGACATCAGCCTCTGTGGGCATAGCCAGGTGACCGAGAAGGAGGCTGGCCCCTGTGTAGCCCAGCGGTTCTCAACTCCAGACGCAAATGAGAGTCACCTGGGGAGATTTGAAATCCCACTGATGCTTCCAGCAAGCACCATCCTGGACCAGTGGAGTCAGAATCTCCGGGGGTGTGACCCAAGCAACCGAATTCTGTAAGTGCTTCCATGAAGAGGTTCACTCCTTTCAGAAGAGGTTCACCTCTGGGAACCACATTTTTAGAGCTATCCCAGCATACCAGCCACCAGAAACAACTATTTAAAATTGGGCTTCCCTGGTGGTGCAGTGGTTGAGAGTCCGCCTGCTGATGCAGGGGACGCGGGTTCGTGCTCCGGTCTGGGAAGATCCCACATGCCGCGGAGCGGCTGGGCCCGTGAGCTATGGCCGCTGAGCCTGCGCGTCCGGAGCCTGTGCTCCGCAACGGGAGAGGCCACAACAGTGAGAGGCCCGCGTACCGCAAAAAAAAAAAAAAAAAAAAAAAAAAATCCAACCCACCTAACCATGAAGTTCCAGAAGAGGGGTTTGCCATTGCCATCCTACTGGGTGTGTTTCCCCGTATCAGTGGTTTCTCTGGCTCTGTACCAAGGCTCTGACGGGTGGGATGCCTCCTCCTCGTTGCCCACTCCTCCCCATGCGATTACCCACCAAGCCCCACCGGTTGTTTCTCCTGCCATCCTCTCGTAGCCTTTCCAAATGACCTTGTTGAAGCTCGTCTCATCTCTTACTTGGATTTCTTCACTAGTTTTATTGCCTCTTGTCTTCTTGATCTCAAATCCACCCACAGGGCAATCCATTTAAAATACTACCTTGGCCTTGAACTGTGCAAAACCTTTTCATATGACTTTTGTTGATCCATAAGACCTTGAGGGCAGAACATGTCTTATTTACCTCTGAATTTCTAGCACCTGGTTCTGAAATCACTCAATAAATGAATGACAGATAATTTGCTTCTCAATGGAAGAAAGGCCAAGAATTCCCTTGCATTATTAGGGGACAATGCTGACCCCAAATCCCCACTGCTAGGCCCTACCTTGGTTTGCCTAGGTCTTGTGGGTACCTCACCTAAACGTTCTAGAGATGAGGCACTGGTCCTTGGAAAATCTCGTGTTGCTCATAGCAGGAACAGGAGCTAGGGCTTTATTGGAAGGAATGGATACACGGGTGCTACATGTGTATTTTCCTATAGGTTGGAGTTATTATATTCCCCTGAAAATGCACAATTCAGTTGTAGACTAAAACAAAGGACCATTCAAGAGGTGCTTTCGCGTAGTCCAGGTTCATGGTGCCCAGGGAGAAACTGGGTGTGAGCAGAGGGGAAAACCTAAGATGATGATGGGGCATTTGGGAACCACTCAGAGGACCAGGTCAGGACCAGGGAGCATGGAGCTAGAACCCAAGTCAAGCAGAGCTGGAGGAATGACTTCGATGGGATGAGTAGGCCAAGTACCAACTGTAGAAGCCAGAAAATAAGAACACAGAGTCCCAGCTGGAGGCAGCTGAGGCATGTTCCACGTGGTAGGAAAAAGTCAGTGTGCATTCTGAGTAAGAGTGAAGGGACCCTAGGCTAAGAGGAGACATGTGGAGAGCCCTTGAGGAAGTAACTTTGTGCCCTGTAGCCGGGGCCTAGGGCTGGAACCTGAGACCCAAGGAGGGGAGAGTTTCTCTTTAGAGACAAGATGGTAGAGTGATAAGATGCTAGTTCAGGTTGATGTAGATGTCATCATAGCACCTTGAGAACTGGAACAAAGAAGCAAGAGAGACCCTTGGAAGATAGGTCTGGGCCTAAAAAGGTCAAGTAAGGTGACATCTAAGATCTTGAACTGAGCCCAGTAACAGGATTTAACTCACGGGGCTATTCTGTGAGCTGGAAACATCTCCATTCTCCCATTCCTTCCGCCATTTTATGTCCCTAGGGACAGGTGCAGCCCAGGTACAGGCTGTGTGCCGGGGCCGCTCACATTTGTGGTAGGGGGCAGAAGCAATCACGGAGCTGTATTTGGCTAAGGAACAGAAGGGGAGGTTAGGAGTGGTGGGAGTGGGTTAGAGCATTACCTTTTTCTTTTAACTTTCATCCAAAAATGACTCAAGAGTCACCATAAGTCGCAAAAATACTAGAGGAGATCTTGTGTACCTTTTTGACCTGCGTTTCCCCACCAGGAATGTATTAAGGTCACTGTGGCACAGGATCACAACCAAGACATTGACATTGACATTGACACAATCCATAGACCTTAGATCCACCAGTTTCACGTGCACTCGTCTGTGCGTGTGTATAGTTCTGTGCAATTTTAGCACGTCTGTAGATTTGTGTAACCATCACCACCACAATCAAGGTACAGAACTCCTCTGCCACCAAAAAGGTCACCCTTGTGCTGCCTCTTCGTGGCCACACCCCCCCACTGTCCCCTACCCCATCCCGACCCTCACCCCAGTAACCGCTAATCTGAACTTTCTATTCGGTCAGATTTGGTCACTGACTGAGGTTTACAAATAGACCCCTAAAGTCACTAATAACACACAAAAAGTGAGCGTAAAAAGAATTAAATACACAATGGCCCAAACGGGCTGTGAACAGTGGCTTTCCTTTCCCTGTAGGCGCAGGCTCTGCTGCGGTGGATTTGCTGTCTGTCGACCCTGTCCCTAGTGGCTGCCCTGGCATACACGGTGGGTGACGCGTCCGCCGCCTCTTCAGTTGCTGCTGCCGTCACCAGGCCCTCCACCGGCCCCCGTGGGCTGGGTATTGTTCGCGCGTCAGGAGGGCTACGGAAGTAGGATGCAGTGACGCAGCACGGGGCTTGCTCCGGGCTCACACACTGGCCTGTTAAAGGCGACGGTGTGAAAACATATGTACCCAGAGAGACTTTTATTTGCTACTGAATGACTGATAGTGACTCAAAAAAACATCCATCTGTTTATATACTTGGGGAAACCCACTCACATATTCTGGTTTAGATGTTTACACTGGTTTATATACAAATGCAGGTTCTGAAAGAAAAATTTGCAGCCTCTCCAATGAAGCTAGTTTAGAAATTGGAAAAGAACAGGTAGGGGGTAATGTCGTGAGAAAAAAAATTACCAGTGCTGGGACAAGAGTACTGACCACACCCAGCCTGGGCTTTGGTCTCCTCATCTGAGCGTAGAGACTGAAGAGTTGGCAACATCCCCTTCAGCCCTTTGATGACTGGGGACACTGTTTCTGTTGAGCCTGGCTTTCAGAGTCAGGCAGAAAAAGAGCTTAAATGGAAAGAAAGGGATCATCTCCAGATTAGAAATGTCTATTCAAGTCACTTGACCTTTTCCCCCATTCCTCTCTATTTGGCATGAGGTGCTTGAGGTGTCAGCAAATGATAGAGAAAGGCTGGCGGGATTCACCCAGCAAAGGTTCTGGCCCTGCACTGCCCAGAAGGCCTGAAATCACGGAATCAGAGCCAGGTGGAGGCAACACAACTTTATACCCCTGGGAGATAATCAGGGTGAGTTTAAACTTTGGCCTGTGAACCCAAACCCGTTAACCTCAGCAAAGGTGGCTGGAGAAACCTGATGAAGTGAACATAAAGTCCTGCTTACTGAGCACAAGCTTATGCCAGGCCCCGTGGAGAACTTCACTCCTGTGGTCTCCGGCAATACTGGCCACGCCGCTACAGGTAGAGCTATAATTAGCTCTGTTTCTCAGTGAGGAAAATGGTGCCTGGAGATGAAGCAGCGTGTGAAGGTCACTCAGCTAGAAAGTGAGCCCAGGCCTGCGGGCACCGCCCACAGCCCCTGCTCTTCATTTCTCTACGCTAGCCACGCCCACCCCCAAGATGTTTGATTGTTCAAATTGTTCTTGAGTTTTATGAGTATATAATGATGAGGGAGTTGTTCTTTAACTTCAATTTCTTTTAAAAATATTTTTATTTATTTATTTATTTTTGGCTGTGTTGGGTCTCCGTTGCTGCACGCAGGCTTTCTCTAGTTGCACTGAGCAGGGGCTACTCTTTTTTGTGGTGCACGGGCTTCTCATTGTGGTGGCTTCTCTTGTTGCGGAGCACGGGCTCTAGGTCCGCGGGCTTCAGTAGTTGCAGCACGTGGGCTCAGTAGTTGTGGCTCATGGGCTCTAGAGCGCAGCCTCAGTAGTTGTGGTGCATGGGCTTTGTTGCTCCGTGGCATGTGGGATCTTCCCGGGCCAGGGCTCGAACCCGTGTCCCCTTCATTGGCAGGTGGATTCCCAACCACTGCGCCACCAGGGAAGTCCTAACTTCAATTTAAAAAGCTTTCCCTTCTATGGAGAAATGATGTTAAAGAGGAATTGGGTTGCGTTCTCCTTGACTGACGTATTTGCATTTATGGGTGTCTGTTTGGATCACATGACCTCCACTTGGTGACAGTGACCCTGAGCTGTTGACAGAGCCTCAGAACATAAACAACTGCTCCCCCTGGCCTGGTACAGGCCACCTCTGATGTGGTGACAAACAGCACAGTATTCCTGTCTAATGTGACAGTCCTGCTGGGTCAAACTGGTTAATGTCCATCAGGATTAGAGAGGAGTGACTTAGGTTAAGTTAGAACATGAAACAAATTTGCAGTTTTACCAGTACAGTGGAGCTAGTAAATACTATCAGTCATTAGCCTGAGTGTGTATGATACATACCTCTTTTAATCCAAATGATGAATAAGCCCTCTGGCTCATTCTTGAGCAATTTATCATTCAAAGGTGTATTGTTATTAGCCAGCCACATTTATAGGTGTGACTGATGTTCTAGGTTTGTATCTCCAACACTATCTGTAAGATACCAAGACTGATTAGTAGGTCAATGTAGGATGTGCTGGGTTAGATAAATTTTTAAAAAATGTGTCCACCTGATGACCTTTAGAAAAGTATACTTATAAAAGAACATGCTTTTCTTCTTCACAATTTTATTTATTTATTTTATTGAAGTATAGTTGATGTACAACGTTATATAAGGTACAGTTGTACAATACAGTGATTCACAATTTTTAAAGATTATACTCCATTTATAGTTATTATAAAATATTGGCTACATTCCCTGTGTTGTACAATATATCCTTGTAGCTTATTTGATATGTAATAGTTTGTACCTCTTGATCCTCTACCCCTATCTTGCCTCTCCCCCCTTCCTTCTCCCCACAGGTAACCACTAGTTTGTTCTGTATATCTGAGTCTGCTTCTTTTTTGTTATATTAACTAGTTTATTGTGCTTTTTAGATTCCACATATAGATCATATCATACGGTATTTGTCTTTCTCTGTCTGAATTATTTCACTCAGCATAATACCCTCCAAATCCATCATGTTATCACAAATGGCAAGATTTGATTCTTTTTTATGGCTGAGTAGTATTCCATTTTATGTATACACCACACCTTCTTTATCCATTCATCTGTTGATGGGCACTTAGGTTGCTTCCATATCTTGGCAATTGTAAATAATGCTGCTATGAATACTGGGGTGCATGTATCTTTCCAAATTAGTGTTTTGGGTTTTTTTTGGATATATACCCAGTAGTGGAATTGCTGGGTCATGTGGTCACATTTGAGGAAGAAGATGTATTCAGTTGAGACTGTCAGGACAAGAAGGGATTTTGATGGTTCAGATCATCTTTTCCATCATCTTCAGTCATGGCCAAGGCAGACCATGCTGGTCTTGTTGAGTTGCAAGAGTCACCTTCTGACCATGTCACTCCTTCGATTAAAACTTCTCAGTGCTGGGACTTCCCTGGTGGTCCAGTGGTTAGGACTCTGTGCTTACACTGCTGAGGATGTGGGTTCGATCCCTGGTCAGGAAACTAAGATCCTGCAAGCCGTGCAGTGAGGCCAAAAATTAAAAGAAAAAAAAAAAATCAGGGGTGGGAGGGTAACTGGATTAGGGGTTCATTTGCAGATATGTGGTACAAAAGCACTCCAGGCAGAGGGGATGCTAAGGCAGCGATCTTCAGTCTGGAATATGTTTAGTGGGTGAGACGAACAGCAAGAAGACCAGTGAGATAGGGATCAAAGGTCAAGGCAGGAGAGAGATGGGAATGAGGACAGAGAAGAAGGTAGTGGTCAGGTCATGCAGGGCCTTCAAGGCCATGGGGAAGAAGCTGGATTTTATTCTAAATGCCATGTGACGTGATCTGGTTTATGATTTTAAAAGATTACTCTGGATGTTTTCTTTTCTTTCTTTCTTTTTTTTTTTTTTTTTGTGGCTTGAAACAACAGAAGTTGATTCTCTCACAGTTCTGGAGGCTAGAAATTCAAAATCAAGGTGTTGGCAAGGTCCTTCTGGAAGCTCTGAGGGGGAATCTCTTCCATCCTCTCCTGTGTCCTCAGCATGCCTTGACTTGTGGGCGCATCACTCCAATCTCTGTCTCCATCTTCACATGGCCATCTCCCTGTGTCTCTCCTCTGTGTCTGTGTCTCCTTTTCTGTCTGTCACAAGGACACTTTGGATTTAGGGCCCACCCTAATCTAGGATGATCTCACCACCCATTACTTACCTTAGTTACATCTGCAAAACCCTTATTTCCAGTTCTGAGGTTCCAGGTGGACAAAGCTTTGGGGAGACCACTATCCAACCCACTGCAGAGAGCCATTGGTCTTATTCAGAGAGGGATTTCTCATTGTTTTAAATTTTCATTCATTTAACTTAAATAGCCATGAGTAGCTTGTAGGTCTCATATGGGACACCCAGTTGTAGAAGATATACCAGGTTACAGAAGGCGAAGGGTCTGAGGCCAGACAATGTTAACAGCCTCGTCCCAAGGCCCAGCAGCTCGTGTTGTGCGCCTTGAATCAGAACCCAGGTTAGCAAAGGGACTTTGCATCTTGTTTTATATGTGGAATGTTTTGTGCTCAGAGGTTGAAACCCACTAAGGATTAAACTGGCCGTAAACTCAATGTTAGTGTCCCTTATTATTACTTTCATATTGCTGCAATGGGAAGTTGAGTTTTTTTTGTTTTTGTTTGTTTCAGTACGTGCTCTTAAAAATTATAATGAAAAAGACCTTCTTAGTAGAAAGTTCACAGCCTTAGGGGCAGAACCCAGAGGGAGCAGTGATGACACAGCATCTTCCCAGACCCAGGGAGGGCCTCGAAGCTCCATGAATGGGTGCCTATTCCCTCCAGGTCTGGTGCACCGGCTGCTTTCCTGGGATAGCTGGAGCTTCCTGGCCAGCACGAGCTACGCTTGCTACTTGGCGCACCCATCTTCATCATCCTCTACAATGGGCTTCAGGAGATGCTTATTCACTACACCGACATCAACATGGTGAGGCAGCCCCAGCTCTCAGCTCGTTGTAGCAACACAATTTGCTCTCCCCGGAACAATGCAAACTATTGGCTTCATTAGAACCTTATTTTCTGTTTGTTTGTTTGTCAAAAGCCTATTGTTCTTTGTTTTATTGAAGGGAGGGCTTCAGCACAGGATAATAGCTTTCTTTTCTTCTCTTTATCTTTAAAGTTTAGGGCTGTTTGTCTTACAGATCTGTTTCATATAGCCAGGATGGTACACTTATTCCAAATGCAATAGGAATCTTGTAGTAAGACTGTGTCCACTCTGCCCCTCTTTCTCTCTAGTTCTGTCTTTTCTCTGGACACTGTTTGCCGACCTTCATCACTGGGCTGGCCCTGACGCTGTTCATTGAGAAACCATGTCAGGAACTGAAGTGGTGCCTGCTGGGATCAGTGCCTGCAGGGCCGTGAGCTTCCTGTAAAACCCGAAAGAGTGGATGGCCCTTTGTGGGTGCTGATGAGTAAAGGCAAGTGTGGTCTTGTTTATGTAACGAAGGCTTGTGTTCCCAAAAAGGAGTGTGAATCTGATTTTTGTGAATGTTTAAGGTATACAAGTTCTTTAATATATAAAACAGTTCCGAGTGTTTACTATATAAAAGAGCTCTGCGTTAATCTGTTTAGTAGCACAATAATTGCCCTCCAATGTAACTTTTTAGCAAAAAAATCTGTATTTTGGGGGTCTCATACTGCATGTATTTTCTATATCCGTGATCATAGGAGAACATCAAATGTAGTGAATTTAATGTACTTCAGGTTTTAATGCTCACTTTTCTTGGTAAAATCACAGTATGTCGTTTTGTACATTATAATTGTTTTTGTGTTATTATGATACCTCATAACTTTATCCTGGATGGTATGACCCACTAGTGTGCACAGTTCATGGGTTTGTCATTATAGGTGTTTCAAACCTTGTTCATTTTACAAGGTGGTCTATTTTTGTTTTTTTGTTTGTTTTTGCTTTTGTTTTGTTTTGTTTTTTGGCCGCGCTGCACGGCTTAGTTCCCTGACCAGGGATTGAACTCAGGCCATGGCAGTGAAAGCGTCGAGTCCTAACTACTGGACTGCTGGGGAATTCCCGAGATGGTCTATGTTATGAGTTGAATTGTGTCCCCTGAAAAAGACATGAAGTCCTAAACCCCTGGTACCTTAGAAAGTGACCTTATTTGGAAATAAGGTAGTCAAGTTAAAATGAGATCATGGAGGTTGGGGAGTGAATGGCCCTAATCTAGTATGACTGGTGTCCTTATTAAAAGGGGAAATCTGGGCACAGAGACAGACGTGTACAGAGGGAAGATGATGTGAAGACACAGAGAGAAGATGGCCATTGGCAAGCCAAAGAATACCAAGGATTGCCAGCAGACACAGAAGCTGGAAGAGGCAAGGAAGGATTCTCCCCTAGAACCCTCAGAGAGAGCATGGCCCTGGTGACACCTTAATTTAGGGCTTCCAGCCTCCAGGACAATGAGGTGATACATTTCTGTTGTTTTGAACCAGCCAGTTTGTGGTGCTCTGTTACAGGAGCCCTAGCAAATGAACACAGTCCCTCAACACAACCTCTAACAGAGAAGGAAGAGACCCTAGTAAGTGGCTTCTATCCCCTCGGTTTCCAGCAAAGAGGTAGAGAGATGGGAGAGACTTGTAAGGCCAAGTGGAGACCATGGATGTCCCAGTTTTCAGGCTTGTGCTCCTTCCTGTGTGTGTAATTTCTTCTTTTTTGGGGTGTGTGTGTGTGTGTGTGTGTGTAATTTCATGTTGACCATCCCTACTTACATATGTCTAACATCACTTATAATAACGCCTTTTGTGTACTTAATAATCAAAGGATTTATTAACAACCATGGGGTTACCAGGAGCTTATTGGCACAGAATGCTCCCCATCTGTATAGGCTCTCTCTCTCTCTCTCTTTTATTTTTTTTTTTTTTTGCCGTACGCGGGCCTCTCACTGCTGTGGCCTCTCCCGTTGCGGAGCACAGGCTCCGGATGCGCAGGCCCAGCGTCCATGGCTCATGGGCCCAGCTGCTCCGCGGCATGTGGGATCTTCCCGAACCGGGGCACGAACCCGCGTCCCCTGCGAAGGCAGGCGGACTCTCAACCACTGCGCCACCAGGGAAGCCCTGTATAGGCTCTCTTTGCCTTCAAGTGGATTTGCAAGGAAGACCACTGGGGTGAGGAGATCTGCAAACCCCACATCCTTTGACAGGGCAGTTGACAGCTAATCTTGTCCTTTTCCAGGCGGCCTTGGGAAACGAGCCACATCTCCCCGAGGTCTGATCTGCTCTGCTGGCAGAATTTGACCTGAGTGAGAAGCCAAGTCCCACCCGGGTGTGTTCAGTCTGTAATAAAACGCGCACCAAGTTGGCTTTTGGGGCGACTGTGAAGTTCATTGGGTTCCTCGGGAGCCCCCTGGTGGCCGATTCGGCACCTGCACCCTCTGACTTAATTAATTAGGCCTCAGAGGAGAAGTTGAGGGTGGGTGACATTTACAGAAGGAACACTGCGATCCCGATGGACCCCAGTGGGAAATGACTCGCCTGCCAATATTGCTCGGCAGTCCAATTGCCAAGTGCTTCTAGTTATGAGGCAGGAAACCCGGGGCCCTTGGAAACAGCTTTCCAACAATTACCAACAAAGCCTTTGAACGTTTTTTTAATAAGAAAACAATACTCTCCCCACGATTGCAATTTCACAAAACATAAAGTAGGGATAAAGAAGTCCAATTTTGTTCTGGCTCTTGTTTCAACCCAGAATTCCCTAGAAGTTTAAGATTTATAGAATGTGTGGACCTTATTTGGATTCTATAACAAACTGTAAAAAAGCGTATGACATTTATGGGACCACTGGAAATTTAAGCCCTGCCTGGGTATTTAATGATATTAAGGACTTATTAATCTTTTAATGTGATAGTGGTATTGTGGTTACGTGTTTTTAGAGTGATTATCTGCTAGATGCCTACTGAAATATTTATGGACAAAATGATATAAAATGTAGTATTTATCTCAAAATAATATTGGGAAGAAGTGGGATAGATGAAACAAGATTGGCCATTTAGTGATAGTTTTTGAAGCTGGTGATGGGTACATGGGACCTCATTACACTATTTTCTTTATTTTTCTGTATGTTTGAAGTGTGTATAATAACAAAGTCAAACCAGTTTATAGAGGCAGCAGGAAGGGAGTATAGTGTCAATTGATGGGTGTCTCCTCTAATTCCTCCTAAATTCTGAAATCCGTGTTTCATCCCCACATACCTACCTGTGGATAAAAATAGGTCACATCAACAGTATAGGATCACCCCCCAGCAGATCTAAAGGAACTCAGCCCTCCTTAAATTCCTCCTGACTGGTTTCGGGAGAGTCCAGGGACATCTTGCTTGTTTTGAGAACACCTGGGCTCTGCTATTTCCTTTTTTAATGAGCAGGCCCTCCTCAGCTGCACCACCCCTCCCCTCCCTGCTATCAGAGCTGCTGCTGAGAGCTGCTGGCGGTGGCCAGAGCCTCCTACACCCGCTGATGTCCCCACGCCACCTTCCAAAGCATGCCGCCTCCTCCCATGACCTGTCTGTGCAGGATGTGGGCTGAGTTGCCTTGGTGCTCAGGACCACCATGTCCATTCTGAGCACAAACGGTCTCCACAAATGCCACAAGCAGATAAATCCCCGTGCCCCGACTTGAGCCATCTGTGCTTTCTCATTCAGGCTTTGACGCAGGGCTGCTGGGCGCTCATCGTGTTTTTATAGAAACTGCTCTTGCAATTTCCCTCTTTCTAATATACGTCTGTCTCCCTTGGATGCCCTAAGTCTATGGCCACTGGTATGGAGGCGACCTGTGTGGCGATCACTTCCTCTTTACGTTTGTCCTGTTCACCAGTACGTCTCTACCTCACCACCATGACTGGCACACAGTTGGTGTTAAAGAAGTGTCAGTTGACACAGTGATGGAATCAACTCTTTCTTCCTTTAGATGAGTTTTTTGGTGTTTTTTTTTCAGGAGGCTTCTTTTACAGATAGGCAGGCTCTCTCAACGAGGTTTCAGATATGTTCAATTTTATAGGAATCTTCCCCCCAAATGACCCAACCAGACCCCTTCCAGGGAAGCTCAAAGTTGAGAAGCCCCAGGGCATTTGAAGGGGTGAGAAGCCTTTATAACTTTAGTCCCTTGACCCCAAGTGGAATTTAAATCAACGCTGTGCTGATATAGGCTGAGAGGCAGCCACTTTTGATAACCTACCCACATTTGTGTCCCCTCCTCTCTTGCAAAACAAACTCTGAAGTTGTTCTAGTATCAATGTGCCCAGACAGAGGGAAAGTTTCATATTTAGTATAAGACAATTTCATCTTCCCGTGTGCCTTTGCCGATGGTTGGTCCAAGTGTGGTCATGTGACTCAGCTCTGAACAATGAGGTGTAAGGAGAAGTGTGCTGGAGATTTCTAGGAAAGATTGTCTTCCCTGAGTATGGAGGAGGGTGGAGCTTCAAGGAGACAGTCCTTTCTGTCCTCACCTCTATTAATCTTGTGAGAGTACAGTGTTATTTAGAGTTGTTCCTGTCACTATTAGGTACTATTTTTTCATTTTTCTTTTTTTAAAATTAAGACATAATTTGCATAGAGTAAAATTCAAGCATAAAAGTATATGTTTCTGTGAGTTTTGACAAATGCATACAGTTGTGTAATCACCACCAAACGCAAGATATAGAAGAATTCCATCACCCCTCAAAATTTCTGGAGTTCTTTTATAGTCAACCTCTGTTCCCACCCCCAACCCTTAGCAACTATCCACTTCTCATTTCTGTAGTTTTGTTTTTTCCAGATGTATTTATTTTTAAATGTTTATTTTTTTTAAATATAAAATATTCCAAATATTCAAACAAGCTAAAAAATGAAACAATGGGTACCCCACATAGCCATCTTGCCTAATAAACATAGGTTAACATTTTGCCACTTTTCCTTTGGATGTGTTTATTTTGTTTAAAAAATAAAACATTGTGAGCACAATGATAGATCTCCCTGCATCCCATTTGCTTCTCCCTTCTCATCCAAGTTTCATCCACATTTTTTTTTAGATTTTTTTTTTGATATGGAACATTTTTAAAGTCTTTATTGAATTTTGTTACAATACTGTGTCTGTTTTAAGTTTTGGTTCTTTGGTCATGAGGCAGGTGGGATCTTAGCTCCCCGGCCAGGGATCGAACACACACCCCCTGCATTGGAAGGCAAAGACTTAACCACTGGACCACCAGGGAAGTCCCCACATTTTTATATTTTTACTAATAACATGCATGTGTCTATCAATGGTATATAGTACTTTGTTTTCAAACACTATATAATTTGATCCATACCGTAATATCCTTTTGAAATATGATTTTCCCCTTTAAACACCTAGCTAGCCCATCACTTTGAATGCGAATGGTGTTCTGTTGTGTGCATGTGTGCCTTAAATGTTTAGCAGTTCACCACTTGGTAGGTAGATATCGGTTTGTTTTCAGTTTTTCGTTATTGCAAACATGTTTGTAACCAACTCCTTGTATGTGTTTCCTCGTGGAGATACATTCGTTTTCCAGGGTATATAGTCAGGAGAGTCACTGCAGAGTTATAGGGTGTATGTATACTCAACCTTACCTGATAACGACACACAGTTTCCTAAAGTGATTTTCCAAATTTACACCTTCACTAGTGGTGATTGGGGATAGACACTATGACTCAGAGAGCCTCCCCAACACTTGGTACTATTGACCTGTTAAGTTACTGTTAAATCCCAGATGAGTCTAAAATAGCATCTCATCACTTCACTTTGCATGTCCCTGTCTACCAACGGGCTTGAGCATTTTCCATGTGTGTTTTGGCCATTTAGAGTTTCCCCTTCTCAGGCTGCCTATCTTTTTCCTATTCTGCTATTGGGTGTTTGTCTTTTTTTTTTTTTTTTCGGTACGCGGGCCTCTCACTGCTGTGGCTTCTCCCGTTGTGGAGCACAGGCTCCAGACGCGCAG